CTGAATGTGAGTGTTCTCTCTCCACATGTGGTGTTCTTTCTACTGCATCAACTGATTTGCTGGGTGCCATAGGTTAAGCGACACACCAGCCATCTGGTCTAACCCATGCTCAAAAGAAATCCCCACCACTACATATCCAGCAAAATCCTTCAACCTCTTCTTAAAGAACTCCAAGAACAGGGAACTCACCACTTGTCAAAGCAGCCCATCCTACTTTTCGACAGTTTTCATTGTTAGGGAGTTCTTCCTAATACTATGCCTAAGTTTCTCTCCCTTTCCAATGAATACTACTGGCTCTGCCCTCTTTGGCCAAGCATAACACATTTAACCCATCTTCCATTCGACAGCCTTCCAAATCTTCCAGTGTTCCCCTCTTCTCCAAGATGAACATCCTCAGTTCTTCTAACCGTTCCTCATATACCATGGACACAACCCTTCCCAAGCCCTTTACTCTCTTTGTGGCTCTACTCTGGACACATCAGCTTAACAATGTTCTTCTTAAACTATGGTGCCCAGACTTGGATGTAATACTCAAGATGGGGCCTGAACAAGGGCAGTGTAAGAGGGACTCTCTCTATTCTCAGAAGCTGTCCTTGTCATTAGCTTTTTTTGGGGGTCAAGCTACTCATATTGGGCCTGCAGGTCACTAAAACCCCTCAATCTTTGTCATAAACTGCTGTCTACCCACGCCTCTCCCATCCTGTACTTGGAGAGTTGATTTTTTTCGTACCCCGGTGAAAGATTGAAGATTTCTTCTTACTGCATTTGATCCTGTAAGATTATTACATCTTTTTGGATCTTGACTGACATGTGGTGTACTAGCCGTCCTTCCCCATTTTACACCATCTGCAAATCTGATGAGTACGTCACATATGGCTTTATCCAAGTCTGAGAAAAACGTCAAATAGCACAGGACAGATCCCTAGGTTACTCCACAGGAGACCCAATGATGGCACTCAATCATTAAATGACTACTGAGTCCAGCTGTCCAGACAATTTGGAAACCACGTAATTGTATTTTAGTCTAACCTACATTTTCCCCTCTGCTCTACAAGAACAGCATAATATACTTTATCCAAAACTTTACTAAGATCTTGGTGAACTCTAGCTAATGCACTCCCTTCACCTATTGGTTTAGTAACCCTGTCCAAAAAAACCCCAACAAATGGGAATAAGGTTAGTTTGGTATGACTTGTTCTGAACAAGCCCTGCTGGTTTTTGGTAATTCACATATTTCTTTTAAATGTTCACTACTCATCTCTCTTTAATGATCCTTTCTAGAACTGTCCCAGGAATCAAAGTCAAGCTCAGTGGCTGATAGCTTGCAGATTTTCCTTTTTCATTTTGGAAAATTGGGATATTTGCTCTACTTTCATCTTGTGGTTCCTCTCCTGTTTTCCACAATCTTTTCAACTATTGGTGACAGTGGCTTGGCAACCCCATTTGCCTGATGTTTTGGACCTGAGGTTGCAGTTCAGCTGGTTCAGGTGACTAGAATTCATCAAAGGCAACTAGGTGCTATATCCTAACTCATTTTGGATATCAACTTCCTGTTAGACATTTTTTTCCCTGTCATTTTCAGTGCTAAGTTCCCTCTCCTTGGCAGAGACAACATATTTGAACTACCTGTCACTCAGAAATTGCACATTGTAAACCCCAAAGCACTATATAAATATGTGTTAATATTGAAAACAAACTGTTATGTAAGTGTACTATTAATAAATCACATGATGTATTTGACTAATCTCTATGAGGGTAAGGACTGTATCTTATCTGGACACTGAATCTCTCCCTATTAAGTGGGTGCTTCATACATTTTAAAAAAATGAATTGCTCAAAGTTCTTTGGAAATTATTTAGTGCAATGTAAAGGATTATTAATACTGTTCTTTCTTCTAGAAAGACTTGCAGGGAGTCAGGGAGCACTTTCAGAGAAATGTCTCAATAACTGCAAAGTGTGAAAGGGGCAATGATTATTATCTCCATTTTCCAGTGGTGGCAGGATAAAAGTGAGTGATAAGGTCTGAGGAAGAAGAGAAGTGACTTTTCTTCAATTTCCTACAATGCTTTCCCAGAAATCTTAAACGCCAGGTCTACTACACTGCTTTTGGGTCATGGTTCATTGGTTCTCTGGCCAAACAGAGGCTTCTCTTGTGCAACTAAGGTGGCTCTAAAATTTGGGGGATTAAATTAGAGCTCTCCAGCTCCCACTTCAGAGCTCAACTGAAACAAAGTCAAACAACTATGAAGTCATGAAAAAAGTCAATGAGTCAGTATGACAGGGTAGCCCAAGGAGTTGGTGCCATCTTAGGCTATGGTGACAGGCAGAGCAACCAAACAATGGTGATGGTCCTGCTGTACTTTGAACTGGTCAGGCTATGCCTGGAATACAGTGTCCACAAAACGTCTTCATTTGCAAAAGCTTTCTCTCTCTCTCTGCAGTGTAGTTGGGAACGGGCAGAATATCAGATACAGGGCAAATCACTTAACCCTTCTCAAGCTTCCACGTGGCTCAGCGGACTCAGTGGCCTCAACGGTTTGTTCCATCTAGTTCAAAGACTTCATGATGGTCAACCAGTCTGCTGACCCAATGTCATTGGCCTGGCATTTTCATGAGAGGTTTTATCCCAAAGGTAGTCTGTTACCCTAAATATAACTTTATTTCCAACTTAGTGGAGGCTGGTCCATGGCAACAACTCAATCAGTGGGGTGATGTCCTATGACTTCATCTCAGTCAACATGAATGCTTCACATTGGCATTCAGGTAGGCCCTGGCTCCTTCTAACTGTATACCACCCCTAGACCTGCCTAGTCTTGGGCTGAAGTTTGACATACTGAGTTGAAACACAACTGCCCCAAACCCAAGTCTGTCCATATGGAAGACTGGCCTTTGGTTCCCGATCAGTCCCTCCACTCCTCAATGCTTTCACATAAGACCATACATTGAAGAGTGGAAAAGACCTTGCCGAGGTCAGCTAGGCCAACTCCCTCATTTTTAGAATGAGGAAACCAAGACCCCAGAGAGAAATCTAAAGGTCATAAAGGTCATAAACCAAAGAGCCAAGATTTGAATCTAGGTCCTTTGGCTCCAAATTCAGCCCTCTTTGAATGATGCCACTTTTGGGCTACATCTTTTCCCTCTGCCCCCCCCCCCCAACTTGTCAGGCTGAGGATGCCTGTGTCCCTGCCAAATCATGAGGTTGTACTGGGAGTTATTTAGTTTGGGTTGGCTAGTATTAGAACCTCCATGATTTCTTTTTAAAAAGCCAAGAACCCTCCCCATTCCCATGGTGTGTTTTAAGGTCTCCATTTCCTACAGCACGGGCCAGGATGCGGGGTTCTGCAGCATGCAGCCCCTTCCCCAGTTCTATCCATTGGCTCCACAGCTTAATGACATGGAGCCAGTTGATCACAACATGACCCTGTTAATATTTTTCTAATGCCATTTTCACAAATTAAAGCATAATGCACTGATTACCGGGATGAAAGCAAAGACTCTGCGTCTGTCTGGAGACCGAATAAAGGAACGTTTGAACATCTGTTCATCCCTACAAATGTCTTTAAAAGCTTTGATTTCCCCATAATCATTTGGTTCCACCATTTCACCCTTTTCTGAATGTGTATCAAACAGCCTCAGGACAGCAGCACACGATCCACGGTGTTGGCGTGTTGCAATCCAAGGTCTCAAGCAGGCAGCAGTTCCCACTCTGGGAACAGAGAAGAGAAGGAAGGAGTGAGTCTGTGGAGCAAAGACCTGTCTTGGAAAATGAACGGTAGGTGGGGAGAATGTTTTCTGTACGCTTCCCCCAACTCTCCATCCCTCAGCTATGCCAGAAGAAACAGAAAGCCCCTAAGAGGTAGGCCCAGCTAGGCAGCCAATTTCACATCCTCAGAGAACAGGTTTGGGACAAAGGAGGTCACAGGAGTGGCAAGGTCTGAAAAGGACTAGGAAGAACCATGCCCTGTACACAGTAGGCACTTAGGTTGTTGAATTCAATAAGGTGAATCCAGGAGTTAAGATGTGACCTTTTCCAAGATCCCAAAATATTTTTATCCCTACAGTAGAGGGAGTCACAAAACAAGCACCCTTTAAGAAAATGTGTAGCTGTGTAAGCTTCTGCATCTAAGGATACCATTAAATCAAAATATCATTGGATTCTCAGAGCTGGATGGAACCTCAGAGATGACTGTCCTTTAATGGAAAGGCCATCTAGCCACTGCTCTGTCCCTCATGATCTGTGCCCGATGGAAGGCCACTTCTCTTTAGGTCTCAGCTTCTTCATCGTATAATTAGTTTGTGACTCCTTCAAGTCCTAATATTCTTAAAGATTAAAAGGTCATGGGGGGGAAGTCCTAGGCCCTCTCCCATCTCAGAGCCAACGATAATGTCTAATACACCATCAGTGCTTAATATGTGCTATTTATTGTCTTCTTGGAAGTACTCTTAAGTCTTTCATTTTCTGGAGGAATTTAGATACAAAAATGAACACTGTCTATGCAGATGTTACCATTACAGCTACTTGTTTCTACATATAAAAGGAAATTTAAAGACAAAGCATTCTCTCCAGAAGGACTCTTTCATAAGGCTCTGGCCAGCTGGGATATTCAATTAATGGACATGCTCTACCTTGGAGAACGATTCTGCCACACCCCATGAGTGATGATGAGTGATGATGCTGGGGGCCAAGCCAGGGGAGCTATGTCTTGAATAAACAAGAGAGAGGGCTTGGGGTTCAGAGGCAGTTCCTAAGAACTACGAAGAGAAGGGATGAAGTGGGTAAGACAACAACTGAAATCAAAATAATCCAGTGGGTGGGCATAGAGAGAGACAGACAGACAGACACAGGAGTCGAGACAGAAGGAGAGAGAGAGAGAGAAAGAGAGAAACTCTTCAGAAGAGACTCTGGGAAGCACTCTGAGATCACAGGATTGTGTGACTGGAACCGACCGGCATTTTCATTTCACCATCTGATCCCAATTAAACACCACTACAAACAAGAAGAGGGCCTGGACACTGAAGATTTATTCACAACCAGAAATCACAGGAGTCAGAGCTAGACCTCAGAGATCAGCTTCTCGTCCACCTTCCCCATTCTGTTCATGAACCTGGGGGCAGGCGCATTTCAGGAACAACGGCCCAGAGGTGGTTTTCCCAGACTGTGGTATTCAGGAATAATGCAGCCAACTAGGAAGATTTGGGCCTGATTCATGCTGCCCATTACCAGTGCCTAAACTTGGTGCCTCTTGGGAGAGATTTCTTATGGCTTAACCACACATAAGGGACAGACACTCCCCCAAACAAGGTACTCCCTAGATCCCTAATAAAACCTTTAAATTGTGAAAAATGAAAGAAATTTACAAAGAGTCTGACTTATTTTCGACTTCTTCTTGGTGCCCTCTCTTTCTCCTCTTCCTTTCTCATCTGGTTGGCTGTTCCCCTGGGCTCAAAAAATGGTGTTCTGGGAAAGGTTTACATGGGAAGTTATAAAACGATTACAAATGGATTTCTGTTCACACTAGAAAAGACAACTATCCCTTCCTCCTCTCACCCCTTGTGAACCTCAGCCTCAGTCAGAAGGCCAGCTGACAAATTAGCTGGAAGCCTGAGCTGGGATGAAATCTTTAGCCCATGGACCTTTAGGCAGCTCAGCCTAGGAGGGGGAGTGTCCACGTGGAGAGGGAAGCAATTCAGAAGCTTTGAGGGAATCCCATTTGATCAGCCTAGTTAGGCACAGTTAGGTGCATCCAAGCAAGGGCCCCAATCCCCATAACCTGAGATTCTTTGGCTGAAGGGCCCAGCCCAGTGGGCAGGACTACTTCAAGGAGACTGAACCATTCTCTTCTGGGCATCAAACACATATCTCTTGAAGGAGAGGCTGATGGAGATATGCTGGGCGGGGTCGCCTTTGCTACACCCTTCATCTTCCCTGGTCACATCTCCTTTTCCCGCCTTAGCCCTCTTCTTGGTGGTAGTAGTTGTTAGAAGCTTCTTGGTGTCAGGGTTAAGTCCATCTACAAAACAAAATAGAAAGAAATGAATTTATCCAAAAAGCAGAGTATCCCACTGAAGAAAAGTTGACTTGGCAACATCCAGACTCTTCAAATAATGTTACCTCATGTCCTTCACTGAAACCTTGTCCTTACTGTGGGACCCAAGAGTTCTAGGCCCTACCACTGGGTCTCTGGTATCCTTTTCTTAAGCTGAGATGGTTTCTATTTATACCCCTTGCCCTTGGAATAATAACAGTTCTCATTTATAGTTTACAAAGTGTTTTCTGCATAACAAGACATTCTAAGTATTATCATCCTCATTTTGTATGATGAGAAAACAGGCTCAGAGTTGAAGTCAATGTGCTGCAGCTATTAAACTGAGGAGCTGGAGAACAGACCCTTCCAAGCCCAAGCCCAGTGAACTCCCCATGTTGATACATGCTTTCCGGGCTCTGCCACGGGGTCTCAAGGGTCAATCTCTCTCTAAAGCTAGGAGCCACCAACAGTCCCACACATGGCCTTTGGCCCAGCCCATCCCTCATCAAGGAGAAAGGGTGGAGTGAGAAGGAGCAGGAAGAAACACTGTACTTGAGAAGGGTTTGGGCTTCTGAATGTGGAGATCTCCCCTTGTCCATGAGACTGATAGGAACATGCCAAAGCAGAGCGCTATCCAGCGGAGATCAAAGACAGCAGTCACTGGAGCCTCAGTTACGGCGGCGGGCAGGGGCTGGGCCTGCTGCAGGAGGTGCTTTGAAATGGACCCTTTTCCTCCCCAAAGCAGAGGCCAGAGAACCCCACTGGAAGCCAGTTCAGGGCTGCCTCTTCACTGAAATGTCGCTCTCCGGCACGGGGCCAATTTCAATTTCAGTTCAGGCATTTTTAACCTGTGGTGTCACATAACCTTATCTCAAACACTTAATCAGCTTTTTTCCCCCCCTGCACTACAATCTGGATCAGCATTCTCATACATTGGGGTGAACAAAAAGAATGAGATGCTTGCAAGGGAACAGAGACAGGAGGGTTCTCCCACAGGTGAGTTATAGCAACGGGGTACTTAGCACTGATTTCAACAACTCCATATTCTGGTTAGTTCATTGGCTCTACTCTGGCAGCCAGAAAGCCGGGATCGGAACTGGTTTTAAAGTGAACCCCCCCCCCCCCATTTCCTTCCTTTCTCAAACTTTGTTTGCCTCTACACTAGTGGAACTGGCTGGAGCACTCTCTCTTCCTCTAACTCCTTGGAAGCACCCAGAGGCACCCCAGGCTAGTGAGGAAGGGCCCATTTTCTATCTGACCACAGGGCATCTATAAGACACTCAGTGTACTCTTTATTTGCTCAGACTAGTGGGGTTTTAACTTTTTCATGGAAGGAGATATGTCAAACTAATTGACTACTACAGCTGGGCAGGTCCTTGGAGAGCACCTGGCCCAACTCCCTCATTTTGTAGGTGAAAAAACCAGAAGCCAGAAGTAGTCTGCCTGAGGCCACAGAGCTGGAGCACGGCAAGACAAGAAGTCACTCAGGCCTTCTGATTTTAAATGTACTCAAATCTAGGGACATATGGGGATGGTGAAAAGTAGTATTACATTAAAAAGAAGAGTCCTGGATTGGGGAATCTCAAGCAGCAGTATATTTTTCTTTCTTCTTAACATTTTTCAAACATGACCCAATTGCACACTTTAACTATTAACTTTTTAGTAAAATAGTAAATGCAATTAGTCAATGAAAAAATTTACACGCGCTCTGAAACCTGGAAAGTGTCAACCAAGTGATGGGCATTTTTTTTCTTTTTGCTGAGGCAATTGGAGTTAAGTGACTTATCCAGGGTCACACAGCTAGTAAGTGTCAAGTGTCTGAGGCTAGATTTGAACTCAGGTCCTCCTGACTCCAAGGCCAGAGCTCTATCCACTGCACCACCTAGCAGCCCCTGATGGGCACTTTTTTTGTATCTGTCACAACAAAGTGCTGGGTACAAATTAGCCTTGTGATCTTAGGCAACTGATTCCTCTTCGGGCCTCTGGGTCCTTACCTGTAAATGGGGGTAGAGAGGTTGTAGAAGATGATCTACAGGTTCCTTTTAGCTCTGACATTCTAGGGTCTTACATTTATAAAGCAAATATCTGAAGAATCATAGGCTATCTTTCTGGAGAGACATTGTACTTTCTCCGATCAAAACTGCAGTTATAACACAACGGACATCCATGGCTTTGAAGCTTTCCTGCTTATGTGGTTGCTGGGTTTTTATCGATAGAAGCAACTTAATAAAAAATGGTCAGTTTCACTTCCTGCTTAGGTAAAATCCTATCTAATTTCATAAGCTCTTCTCTTTTAAAAATTAACATTAAAAAGGCTATGGAAACATTATTTGTGCTGTGTAAAAAAAACTTTCAGAATACAATTTTTAAGGGTGATACCTAGGACAAACTGGACTCTGTAAGAGTAAGTCACAAATACTCTGTTGTGTGTGTGTGTGTGTGCGCGCTGGAAACCTCCCGTCTTGCCCTGGCAGCAAAACCCCCAAAGCCAAGGCCAAACTGTGTCTAATCTGTAGACTCCACACCCATTCCGTTCAGACAGGGTATTGTGCAAGGGTAGTTAACAGGAGAGATGGAAGAATGTAGTAGATCCTACAAGTGAAACCCTAGGCTGCTGGCCAACCCCAGTTCAGGTATTATTAAACTCACAGGTATCTAAATTACTTAATCAGATCCCCCCAGCCCTCATTCTGCAAACAGATTAGGTGGCTGGCATCAGACCCTGACAAATGGCATTTGCTGTTTTTTTCTCTCTGGTGCCAGGAGGTCTATGGGCTGAAGAGGCTCGGGAATACAGGGTGGTTCAAAGGGGCAGGCTGAGAGAGACAGGCGGGGGCACAATCTCCATTTCATCTACCTCCGTGGATTTCTCGCATTACACACAATGCATACTTTACATTTTATAAAACCAAGGAAATTAAGGGAAATATATCTGTCACCAAAGAAGACATCAGCCCTTTAATAGCTGAAATGACGGATATTTTTAGATGGAAGTCTAGTTTAACTTACTAACTTACAGTAAGAGTCTAATCTCTCCTGAACAATGACTATGTTAGCTTGAATACACAGTGAGAAATCTGCTCCATTAATTAAGTGCTGTCTGTACTACTTGGATTTGTAGCAAATATTAATAGATTTCTTTTTCTCTCCATTGGACAATTACCTTATTTTTCCTAAGTTGCAAATGGATTAAGCTAAACAAGTTTGGGAGGACTTCTGTATCACAGCCGTCTGGGCTCTAAGGTCTATGTGGTAGGAAAGTACCTACGTGTTAACGTTATTAAAGGGTGATCTGCTACGGCAGGGCTGATCACCAGGAACTTCTCTGGCCCCATCTCATCTGTTCCCTGCTATCACCAACAAACAACCTCTTGCCCCATAGCTTCACAGATAGGCTGACTCCGGGCCCTCACAGGGGAGGCAAACAATCGGCAGCCTTTAACGTATCCATTTCCCTGACTTTCTGCTGGCTATTCTGTTGCAGCTATTCGTGCTGTTGAGATGGAGCTGCTGCCTGGCTACTGGAGCTGAGAAAGGATTAGAGACGGCTGGTGCATTTCAATCCTAGGAAGCGCAGATTTTGCAACATTTGATTAAAAGGCAGGGAATGGGGATGTGGCCTTTAGGAAGCAGCTCTGGATGCTTTATAGGCGTAATGTGGGCAAGGGACAGAGGGAAACCACTAACTTGCTTGTCTGGCTGTGTGCTGCTTTTCCCTCCTGAGACATCGTTCTGTCCCTGTGCCTTGGTTTCCCTGGCCTGGGCAGGACTAGACTCTCCCTGATCAGAGGCAGCCACTGACAGCCTTAGTGGGAACAAGAGAGGGCTCCCTTCCCTTCTTGCTGCTCTGATTCCTCGTTACCAGCCCACAAGGCCTGGACAAATTTAGCCACTTTGTCACATGGATTCATGTAGGCCAAGAGCACAGTAATAACGGAACCTTCTATCTGCGTGGGCCTTCAGAATTTACAAAGCACTTTCCAATCTCTGTTAATCCTCACCCTGGCCTTGGGAAGTAGGCGGGGCAGGCATAATTGCTGTTGCTCAGCTGTTCTCTGGGACCCCAAGGACCACAGTATGCCAACGTTGTCAATGGGTTTTCTTGGCAAAGATATTGAAGGGGTTTGCCATTTCCTTCTCTAGTGGATTAAGGCACTTGGGTCTTCCTGACTCCAGTGCTCTATCCAGTGAACCACTGAACTACTGCTGGACAGGCACTCTTATCCCCATTTTGCAGGTGAAAAAACAAAGGCTCTGAAAAGTTCAGTTGCCTATGCATGACTATCAGTATGGTAGAAAGGCAGGACGAAGAACTCAGACCTTTTAGCTTCGAACCCAAGAGGATTTCTAATGGTGCCTCTTAGCAACAAGCAACAATGGAAAAGGTAGTAATCAGCATGCCCACTTTGCAAATGTCCCCCAATGTCAATCAACATTAGTATCAACACCAAATTCTCCCTAGACCAGAGGATTCTGTTTGCCATTCTCTCGCTGCCATACCCCCTGCCCTCTTCCCAACACCTTTACTGGGAGGAGCAGGAGTGGATTACTAATGATTAAATGATCTTGGGCTACTTTTCTCTGTGCTGTTACATTTCTCACCCTGCTTTTCAGTAGGGGTGCTCCCCACCTCGAGGAAATGGGTCCATATGCCTGGCCAATGAGCAGCGACTCTTCCTGAGGGCCAATACCAACTTGGCATCTGTCCATCCACGAACGTACAACATGCCCATGGAGGGCACAGCTTTAGCTCTGAGCCCTCTAGGTATTTTGGAAGAGGAGGAGAAGCATCAGCTTAGAAGCTTGATACTTAGCTTCTGATCTGTGCTCAAGTCCAGATGAAGAAATCATCTTATCAGCAGGCACAATCCTCAGCCCAGGAGACTCAGGTTTGGCCCTGAAGGAGGGCTGAAAAAGTGGATTTTAAAGTCAGTCTAGATAAGAGTATGTTGTTGTTGTTGTTGTCGTCGTTGTCGTCGTCGTCG